TCGGAGATGCGGTGGGCAAGTGACGTAACCGTTGTTGCGGCTTAACACCGGTATCACCGTCTATCGCGGCAAGCCTATTCTTGGCTGAATAACTCTAGAAGGTTTTAAAAGGTTGTAAATATGTACACAGTTTTGGATTAAATGAAAGTAGTCAAATTTTTTAATTCGCATGTTTTTGTGTTTTGCTTTGGTACTGAAATTGGTACCGAGAACCGTGGATTTTCACTGGTATTGGTACCGGATACTGAAATTTTGGTACCGTGACAACATTACATCTTACTAAGACATATTATTTGGATATATAGAATGACAACTGATATTTATATGCATTTTATGCAAGTAGTCTACTTTACTGTTATAAAGATTTTATTGATTTACATTACAAGCTTTTCTTACTTTTTGGTCATATAAATATCAGCAACTGCCTTTGTTTTAGACGGTTTAAAATAGTTTGTCTAAACGTTCAACAAAATGTTACATAAAAAGAGACTATTATTTCATATGTCAGGTTTTATAGGGTTAAATCTGTTTATCATAAAAAGCCATTGTGACTTGAATGAAAGCACTTGAGTCTAGATTACTTTAACAATATTTGATGGTGGAATGGACTTTTAATTAAGGGACAGAAATCTTTCAGAGTTCCGTTAAAAATATCTTCATTTGTATTGCGGTGATAAACAAACTTCTTATAAGATTGAAATGACATGAGAGTGAGTAATTTATAACAGAATTTTCATTTTGGGAAACTTTTCCTTCAGCAGACCATAGATAATAATGCTGCTCATTTCCACAAGCTGTTTGTCTGAAGAACCAGGAAGCACGGCTGCTTGTTGAGACGCGTCATAAGTTAAGCGATAAACATCAGCTCATGTTTACTGGCAGGCATAAGCTATATTTTTGCATATAAAATATTTCAAGCATCTTTGAATGTTGAAACTATTAATGAAATCATATTCCAGTGAGGTTACAGCACTCAAATAAAACCCAAAGGCACCTCTAGTGCTTTGATCCACCCCCCCACTCCCGCTGGCTAATCCCAGCAGGTCCCGGGATGAGGCGTCTACAGAACTGAAAGTGTGTGTCAGTCTTGAGTATGGCATGACCATAACATATTCAGACACACCGTGCTGGGGTGTATTTTTATGCCATGTCCAATGACAGCTAGCATTTCTTCACAAACACGCACTACAGCCCACCACTTCACGGGCCCAAAAACACCATGCCTTCCTGTATGACAGCAAAAGATAAATGAAATGATAAACTAATATGTTCCTCCTTTGGCAGTCTGTGGGTTTACTGTATTGTGTGAAACTGTCATGCGGATGCGGTAAGCAGGAAGCGAAAAAGGCAAAAGGCTTGACAGACACCCAGAAAGTGAGACTGACAGCTCTCACAAGCCCAAAGTCTTCTGAAGCTATTTAGCTATGCAATGCTTTACTAATCCACTATGATAATATAATGTCTTTCAAATATTTTAATTTGTGAACTTTTCTTAGTAAAAACTGACATCATGATTAATTAATCACAATTAATTGCATATGCATCACCGATCAAACATTTGAAATAATTAGGATTATTTAATGTTTTTGAAAGAGGTTTCTTATGCTCACTATGACTGCATTTATTTGATAAGCAATACAGTAAAAACAGTAATATTCTGAAGTGTTATTACAATTGAAAATATCCGTTGTCTATGTGGATATATTTAAAAATATAACGTTCCTGTGATGGCAAAGCTGAATTTTCAGCAGCCATTACTTTTGTATTCATATGATCCTTTCAAAATATATCTATCTATCTAATTATTATTATCAATGTTGAAAACATAAATTGATACAATGGACTTATTGGGTGCATGCATACAAGTTTTTATATTGTACTTATATTTGAAAATACCATCCTGTAATTACATCTCTAATTACTCTGTTGAGCCTACCTCTTCCCCTTAAACTTAATCTGACCACCAACCCCGTCCCTAACCTTACCCGTAACAATTCAACATGAACACAACAGGTACATTTTACCTAACAATTTATCATTTTATTATTAAGTAAATAGTATTTAAAGACACTTAATATAAAGTGGGACCAAATATCTTATATGGAATATGGCATGGGGGCGGGGGGGTTTTCGAATATTGTGTTGGACAAGCGGCTTTCAATATCAAAAAAGTTGACAACAAGAATTCACCAGCACCTGCTCACCCATGCCCAAACACAGCTCTTGCGCAAGTCAACGACATTCATTTCCAAAGAATCACGTGAAAGCTTGTGCGTGGACTTTCTGATGGAGAACCTGCATTAAACCAGAGAAATATACAGATTGTATAACAGGTTTCAGTTCTTGTTTCTGCTGTGTGGAAGCCACTGTTATGACTGCCAGACTAATCAAAGCGCACAACAGAGCACCTTCCCTTAAAAAGACATAGCTTGATTGTTTCAAAAGCTCGTCGTCTACCCTACATCATTTGACAGCAGATATTTATGAGCACCGCACCGCAGTCTTCACGATGGGCTCAATAAGATTGAAATGGCGAGGGAGGAATGCAGCCAAACAGCTTGCTGAATCACATTCCTGCTAGACATTCTGCATGTTTTATGGTTACTACTAGAGCCCGACCGATATATCGTTTTGCCGATATTATCGGCCGATATGAGCCTGTCGCCGATATACCGGTATCGTCGAATATGCCGCCGATATGAAATTTTTTTTTACAGAACATATAATGCAGATAAAATGCTTGAAATTATGTAATTACTTAGTTTGTCCAGCAGAGTGCGCTCCATTGTTTGCTACTGGCGACCTGGATGAAACGCTTTAAAGCTTAAGTCAATGGAATACCATTGAAACTTTGAACGGCCATATCTCCGTAACGGCACGGTGAATCCGCAACAAATTCGGAGGACACCATTCAACACTTTCCCTTCAGTAAGGAGGTTTAAGTGCCCTGCGAAGTGGACTTCACATGAAATTCCGCCATGATTTCAGTTCCAAGGGAACGTACACTAAGTGCGCGAGACGTGAATTTATATTGTATTTATTTACAGAGGTAGGGGAGAGCGGGGCACAAAGTAACACTTTTTGACTTTCTCAGTTTGTGTAAATCCACATGGGGTTCAGAATATATATATTTTTTTTTATCCCCAGTAATTTTACACTTGTCTAGTACAAATATGTCGCTTTGTTTCATAATTACAGTGCATACGTGAAGTGTGACAACATGCCCCGTAGGTGGAACACATTGTAACATCTGAGGGGCACGTTGTAACTTGACCATATGACAGTTTAAAATCTTATCTGATCGAATGAAAAAAATATACAAGACAAACTAAAATATTTTGTTAATAAATAAATATATATATATATATATACAGTATATATATATATATTATAAAATAATGGCGTTTTTTAAGAATGAAAAATAATCTGATTTTGGAGTTTGACAATGAACACATTGCAACCATGCTTGGGACGGACCACATAAACAAGCAAAAATGCTTTACATGTCTTGAAATAATAATTTCTAAACATTAAACATTGACTGTCAGTCTTTATTCACCTGTTTCTCGTTGTTTCTCATTATAATTAAAGTAAATAGTGTAAATTACATCACTGATGTCATAGAATAGCACATTGTAACGCAGCGTTACAACGTGCCCCATCTGCGCAACTGGAGTTTAAAACTGGTTAGTGTCTTCTGCTAGTAATCAAAGCATTAAAAAACTATCTGAACTGATAAATAACAGATTGGAGATTAAAATAATTGCAGATTTGTCTCATTTTAAATGAATAATAAAAACTGAGATAAAAAAATTATTTAAGCCAGAATTTAAATGTTACTATGGTAAAATAAATATTCAAACCACACACCCCGTTACTTTGTGCATCGCACTCATCGCAAGTTTATTGTTAAATTGTTAAATGCCCTTACATATCTCTGTCACCATTATAAGTGTTTGATCACCACATTTGAGTGATCATTGCAATAAATGTGTTTATGTATATATATTCTGTTTATGTATATACTGTATTCTATATATAGTACCAGTCAAATGTTTGGACACACGAATGGGAAAGTGTCCAAACTTTTGACTGGTATTGTACTATAATATACACAAAGAATATCGGCATCGGCCTTTTTTTACTCCCTAATATCGCTATCGTCCCCAAAAAACCCATATCGGTCGGGCTCTAGTTACTACAACGGCAAAAAAACCAACAACAACTGTAATGTATTTGGTACTGGTTACCTTACTGGGCTTTTTAGCACCATACTGTAGATATAACCATGCAATGCATGTAATGCAATCATTCCTTGGTGTATATCACTTACATATTTTATGTTTTGAGTTCACTACACCTTTAAGCAACGCTTTTTGTTGTACTTCTGCAAATAGAAGCTCTGAATTGAACAAACATTCTCAATGATGAAGGCCTAATTCACTGCTAGTGCACAACATGCAGTGATTAGATCTTTGCATTAGAGGCCTGTCAACTGTACTCTGTGATGTCATTGTGTGCACAGCTGATGGGCTCAACATCCAACCACAGTGGCAGTGTCTCATAACCTACTAAGACAACCTTCACAGATTGCATATTTGGGCATCACACTGCACGTCTGATGCGGTCTAGGTACTAGCTAGGTTGCGAGCTACAACCGACATCAACCTTCAAGCTCCATATCATCATTATTGTCGTGAGTGAGCGTTGCAACCGGCTGTAAACATGCATAGCATGTCATACAATCATGCATGTTAAGAGTTTGCATAGATAGAGACACCGCAGGGGTGTGTGTGCGCGCCTGCTACTGATCTGCAGGGACACGCACACCGCAGATAACCTTGAGGATGACAGATGGCACACTGAACCCATACACACATCAAGAGGAGGATGATGATGATGATGATGCCCACACAGGCTGCATGCACACGCGTCACGCTTGATCATCGATCACGCACAGGCGTTAAATAACGCGCCGCGCAGGTTTATTTCTCACCCACCGTGAACGGGATGTCGTGGACGCTTCCCACGGAGTAGCAGCAGTCCCCCGGGTTCACGGCTCCCGTCAGCACCTGGTGCAGATGCATTTTTGTTGACCACGCCGATGTTGAATTATTTACAGCAGCGACGCTTCTCCGCTCGCTCGGTTAACGTTACTCTCCATCTAGACCGGGAATCCCATCCGACGGCGTTCGGCCTGACAGCCGCTCATCCGTCTCTAGACACCCCGTGCGTTTAAACACACGGGCTCTGCTGAAATATGCGTCCCAGTGTCCGATTTCCTGCACAGAATTGTTAAAATCGCTCGTGTCGCGTCGCTGTCAACATTAAACGAGAGGATTATACGCTCCTCCTGCTGCTGAGACTGGAGCGCGCGGCACGATCACCTCAGCGGCGCTCGTGCTCTTCGTGCGCGCGATCTAATGACAGCGACAGTGCAGATGTACACCAACTAGATCCTGCAAACTTTCCTATACATAAATGACGATTAACCCCTATACTACTGGACCCCCAGCAGTATAAATCATTCTGATTAAGTTCAAATTGTTAGCAATAAATAAATAATTTAAATAAAAATAGAAATAGCTTTTATCTCGTTACAGAACCTCCCTGGAAGATGATTGGTTTCGGAGTATTAAAGATTATATTATTAAAAAGGGTAATACAGTTTTATTGAATAATTCTCTAAAGGAAAAGAAAGCTACACAACATGGTTAATGCACGTTGTGTTTATGGGCGTTACATTTTCCATGATACCATTGAGGAAGACTAGCTCTTATTATGACGCTCTCATTTTAGTGTCTATTAATCATTTCCGTGTCAGCGTTTGAGTTTAGACTCATTATATTGATATAACTGCAGACGAAACACAAACGCTCTGATTTTATAACATAGGCTCATTGTTGTACGTTCGGATGTGTTGGCTCGTTCTAGTGCGTCTACTTCTAGGGCCTTTAAAGCGCTTCCATGTTTTCGTAGCGCGCGCACTAGCGTGACGCGTCTCCTGCACGCGGTCATTGACAGGTGAGCGAGGGTGAGGGATGAGGGATGCGGGGGTGTTCGGTGTGTCCAGTTCAGTGTAGATCACACAGAGCGCAGGTGAATGATAAAGACATCGAATTATTGGGTACAATTTCACACAGTCCTGAAAGAATTAACGCCATATTCACACTCAACGCTACAACTGATCCCGATCAGGGAATCCCAGCACCCCTGCACGCGTCGGTTTGGTGTGTTCTGAAAACACATTAGATGACATTTACAGCATTGACAGTCATGGCACCACTTTCATACCATGATACAACTATAACGTTAAATAGTGTAGCAATAAATGACATTTACAAATGATTAAATGGCGAATATAATATTACATAACAGTGCATTCATAATAATACATGGCATTCATTACATTGCTTGGCATTTATAACATAACATGAAATTTATAACACCGACAGTCATGGGCATGGCATGGCATTCGTAACCAGTGTTGGGGAAAGTTACTTTTAAAAGTAATGCATTACAATATTGCGTTACTCCCTAAAAAAAGTAACTAATTACGTTACTTAGTTACTTTTTTATGGAAAGTAATGTGTTACGTTACTTTCGCGTTACTTTCGCGTTACTTTTTAAATGTAAGCAGGGCTTGATTGTTTTTAATATAAGAAGTTGTATTTATAGCAAATATAAAAGCCCTTTCACACCAAAAAGTGTAATGAATAAACCTCAGGCTGAAGCAAAAGTAAATCCACGGCTGTACAGTAGAACGCCGGAGAAGAAACACTCTTCAGCAATAAAAAAACTAAGCACAATTGTTAGTTTCTCTAAAGTCATTTTTGCTTGTTAGTATGGTTGAACTGGATCATCAAAGGTCAGCAGCAAAGATATCGGTTAATAAAATGGAATTAGATACATTTGTGTTATTTAACATATTTAATTATTGCAGGTTTGCGTCATATTCTGAGTTTGCATTTCACTGTTTTTTGTGAGTGGGATGATTTAATGCACATTCACATTTAGTCTAGAACTACAGTAGCATGTTCACACAGCGCACACAACGCCTCTGTACTCCCGATTTCTCCCGATATGGGGACAGGAGAGCTGTCAGTCAATAAATGGGAAAGCAAAGTAACTGGCGTTACTTTTTTGAAAAAGTAACTCAGATATTTTCTTGTAAATTAAAAAAGTAATGCGTTACTTGACTAGTTACTTGAAAAAAGTAATCTGATTACGTAACTCGCATTACTTGTAATGAGCTACCCCCCCAACACTGTTCGTAACATGAAATGTCAAAATGCATTCAAAACATTATAGCCTACCATTTGTAATATTGCATAACATTCAAAACATAGTATATGACATTTATAATACTGCATAACACCCATTGACTCAAATTATAGTAAATATAACATTCCATTCATAACAGTGCTTGGCATTCATAACATGCTACCAAATTTATAACATTAACAGTTATAATGTTCAGAATATTAAATAATATAATATTCATATTAAATGACATGCATAATAATACATGCCTTTCACAACATTACATGACAGTCAAAACATGATAAAACAATAATATTAAGTGACATTCATAATAATAATATGTGAAACTTACAGCATTGCATAACAGTCGTTTGGCTGAAATTATCATGTAGCGAAAATAACATTACATGGCATTCATACATTATATGACATTCATCACATTGACATTCATGGTATAATATTTTAACATTAAATTCATCATAATATATTACATCGTAGCACTCATAACAGCACTTGACACAAACCATAATGTAGCAAACATAATATCACATGACACTGTAACATTAAATTACACGTTCAGTAAATCATGACATAACATCACATGACATTCATAATAATACACGATATTCATAACACATGGTACATAAACCATTACATGACTCAGTATACAACATTCCTAACATCTTATGACACTCAACATAATATTCACATGACATTCAAAATAACACTCTGCATAATACTGCATCCTTTATCATAATAATTGAATAATTCAATTAAATTAGTTTAATTGAATTAATAATTAAAGTATCAGAATAATTTCTCTAATATTTTAGGATACATGCTTGAGAAATATAAGTAAGTTGTGTCATTTTGAATGTTAAAGAAGTAAAAATGTTATAGTTTTTTACACTGTACAATGCAACACAGTGACTAAGTAGGTTTTAAAAGCAACCCTCTGTGATCTGTGCCTTGTGTAAATGTCTGTATGCACCGACAGCAAAGGGTAGAGCGTGTCATACACACACACACACACACACACACACACACACACACACACACTGGTCTCCATGTTTTATTGGAACATTCCATAATGGTTTTTATAATTTACAAACTGTATTTTCCATCCCCTACCCCTCACACAAAACTTTCTGCATTTTTAGTTTTTCAAAAAACGTCATTATGTATGATTTATAAGATGTTTTCCTTGTGGGGACCAAAACACACACACACACACACACACACACACATAAATAAAAAATAATAATAATAATAATTTATTAGTATTACTATCTTGTGGGGACATTTGGTTCCAATAATGTAGGGAATACCAGGTACACACACACACACACACACACACTGTGCAAACTGTATTTTCTATCCTCTACCCTTCACAGAAAATGTTGTGTTTTTACATTAAAAAATATATAGATACAAATATAAAAAAATAAAGAATATATATATTCTGGATGATTTATAAGCTGTTTTCCTCATAAGGAAACATAGAATTAGCAATATTGTGTCCACACAAGGTCGAAAATGACTGGTATTACTATCTTTGAGGGGACATTTTTGTGGTCCCCATGATGTAGGGAATATAAGGCACACACACACACACACACATACACACAGAGAGAAACACATTTGCTCAGTCTGTACTGATTCAGTGACCAGGGGCTCATGATCATGTGATCTGTGTGTCCCAGATTGTGTGTGCAGAGGTCACTCATGGATAAAACATCTTCTCTCGTGAATTCCACTTTACAAGCAGCTACTATTAAAACCTTTATCCAGGTTGAACATTGACTTGTGCGATGTGGAAGTTTTGAATGGATTTTTGTAGTTTCAAGAATGTGACTTACTTAGCTAAAATATATACAGTATGCAGCTATGTGTTCTAAATTGTGCATCACACAGGCATCATTATAAACACCACCGCAGAGCATTTATAAATGTGTGAAAATAGCTCTGCTATACTGCTATAGAGATATGATCACCAGAATATGACTGAGAGGAAGTGACAGTCATGTGTCACAGCCTACAGCACAGATCACCCTTGGTCTTTTGACACAGGGGATTCCTCTATACACACACACACACACACACACACACACACACACACATTTGGCCTCTGGTACATCAGTATTTCAGTTGCGTCTCTCCTCTCATTTTGAATCATATTCTTTATCCAGTATCCATTGCTGGTGTTAATGCTATGATGCACTTCGGGCTGTGTTTGTGTGAAAAGCACGTTTTTCTTCTTTTGAAGAGTCTTCAGAGAGCTGCTGAGATGCAGAAAATCAGATTACTATGGAACTTTCATAGTTATGTGTTATCTGTGCAAGAAGGACATGGGTTATGTAAAAAAAAAAAGTGTTTTAAAAACAGTATTTAGAAAAAATAAATGTAATTTATTATTTTTCCCCACAATAGTTTATGGGTCAGGGATATGATGCAAATTTTTGTGTTTGGGTCTATTTATATAAAACAAAACAAATTCTATGTTTATTTATTTTATGCAGGACTTGTCAAATTGGTCTAACCATACTGTCATTATATATAAAAAAGAGTCTTGTTAAAAGTCTGAAATTCTGAAAAATAAATAAAGTTTTGCATAATCTCAAATTATTATTTAAGTATAGTAATCTATATACTATATTATTATTAAAAATCGTGTCCTTCACAAATTTCCCAAAAACTGCGGTACAATCAAGACGTTGGGGGGCTTTCTCCAGGTATTATAAATCTTCTTGCGTATATCTACTGTAAAATGTAGGAAATAATATTGTCATTTGACAGGAAATTATATCACAACAGGATCCCTGCAGACCCTGATATAAGTCTCAGGCATATCAGATCATTGTACCTTTGTATTTGCATAGTTGCATGTTAAATGATATAACTCCAGAAAAGGACAAAAAAACTAACAAAATTGTTTTAGTAGCATGAACACCTATAGAAGTAAGAAAAGATGTAGTTATTTATTTATTGGTTTGTTTTTATTTATTTATTTATTATGTAATGCTGCACCTCTTCATTTCAGATTTATTTATTTATTTGTGTATTTACAGTGCCAGTTTCAAGAAAAATCCTCCTCGCTCATCTAAAAATGAACTCCAGCATATTCAGTTGTCAGAAACTTTAAAAGGGACTGT